AGTTAAAGTGATACTAACGGTTCATATTTTAATTTGAAATAAACATGTCATACGTACCTGCTCTGTGGACTGGTTTTGCACACAGCAAAACCCCTCTCAGGTCCCCTGCTGGCAGTCCTGGCATCTCCCCCATGCCGATTTCTGTGGGGGCACTCATGTAGGTTAGCTCCTGAGCCACCTCTGTGTCTCTATGAGACACAGAGTGTGGCTCCGCCCCGCCCCCTCTACCTCCTCACTGGCTGTGATTGCCAATGGAAAAATTAGGAATAACACCTACTTTATGTGTGTTATATTTTCATTACCTACCATAACTTAAATTAAAAATTGTCTGTTACCCGTTTAGTTGCTTAAAAATCCTTCTATGCACTCCTTGCTTTGTAATGTTTAACATAATTAACCCTGTACTCTGTACTGCATTCACAGTTCATTATTATCAGCTGTAAAATAGATTTGAACACTGACCTAACAAAGGGTTAAAAATTAGAAACCACCCTCCTACACTGTACGTTAATGAGGGATAATGTGGGGTTAAAGACAATTGAGACTGTTCAAAAATTCTTAGAATTAGCCATGACCCCTTCCCCTTAGCTATATCATTTTCAATTTTTTTTTTTATTTACCTTTTTTAGATGTTTCCTATATAGTATGCTATGTGCATCGGAACACAAACAGAATTTGGAGTTCTCAAATTTAACTGCAAAAAGTGGAAATACGCTTTAAACTCTGCTGTAGACATTTGACAAGAGTCATCTGATTACAACTAGAACAGAAAACACCTGAAATCTTTGTGGGAACTATGTGGAGGTCTGTAGACAACCCTTGGCATACCAATATGGGGAGAATAAGGGCATGTATTGGCAGGCTTTGGTTTCGCATTCCCATACAAGTCTATGGGTATGCAAAATCTGCTTGATTCAGGTTAACCACACAGGTCACTGAACTCAAAAAAGATCTCAGAAGTGTCTCAACGATATGCCAGACAAGCCCAAAACCCATCAACACCATAATGGAATTCCCAGATTAATTGGTATTTTTCCACAGATCCCAGTACTATATGTTCATTTAATAAACATGCATGTTCTTTCAACACATCAACATATTTGTGCCTGTTTACATTATGGTCTTTCTACAGGCAGTGAAGTGGTCTTCTGACCACCAATGTTTATTAAGTAGCCCCCAACAGTGAAAAATAAACTGGCTGAATTAACAGTATTGACCTGTGGAACTCAGGAGGGGAGTAGCTGGATAGTCAGACTGTTCATGATTTGGTTCAGCTTTTAACAGGTTAACTAGTTTTTAAATATACAATAGCTAACTGCCTGCCCATACTATAGTGTGCCCAGTAGCTGCCTTTTCCATTAGGGTCTAAAGAGGAAAAGATGCATATATGCAGTATGTGGTCTCAGTGACGAGAATGGAAAAGCCACTAGAGTCAGCATGGACCGTGATCTCAGGTCTGCAAACCATTATGAGATGGGGAGGCAAGGAGAAACAACTCACTGGATTATTAAAAACACTTTGCTAATCCTTTAAGGGCAGCTTCAAAGATCAAAAGGCCAAGGGTTTTTCAGGTTACATTGGATTATAGTGAAGCTAATCTAAAGAGAGCATCTAACATAGTACTGACCGGAAAAACACACCTAAACTGCTGCATGCATCAGTGTGCAAACACACCATCCAAGCATACATCACAGATTAGAACTAATCCATTGAATAAAATGGTCCAAGGCCTATACAATGATCAAACAGTGCATATTCAAGTCAAACCACAGCCCTAGTGGTGGCCATACGAAAGGATAGTTCAAGGCAATTCCAACAATTGCCTAAAAATGTCCAACACCCTGCCACCTAAAGTTCAACAGAAACTGTTGGCACCATGCTGCATTGATCATTTTTGCTATCAAAAGCTACCTATAGCTCGTTAAAATTGCCTAAAACCTGAGCTCTGTATGGCCATCACAAAGGGTAACTTCCTATTACCAGGGCATACAACTGTTAAACTAGGACTCACTTGACGGCAGCTGGCTGAGCAACAAGCACTGAAAGGAGCACTATTTTGGTGGACTCTGTTTTTGGCAATAAATACAAAATAAGGTCTATAAGCACTCAAAAGACCCTGTGCAACTAATTAAAAATCATATTTATTCACGGGGCCAGAATAACACACCAAGTCTGCTTGAATTCACAGTTCTTCCACTAAATTGCAGTAAATCCACTTGTTGTAAATCACTTAAACCATTTTTATTGGCTGTATTATTCAGTCTCCACTTTACCCTTTTACTGGATGTTACTGGAAATTCTTCCCCCTTTTGGCATGTGAGGTATTTTTTAAATTTTCTACCCAAAGACAATATTTTACCTATGGATGGACTGTGGACTTAATTTGAGTACACGGTATGAGAAAATCAGACAAACTATTGTCTGATTTTCCATGAAGGTGCGTACCATGAAGTAGTCGACAATGGCATTCATTTGTATGGAAATTCTTGAAAGACAAAAAAGGCAAAATGTTCTATCTTGTTAAATGATATCTATGTCCATTGTCACCTTCTTCCGGATCACTCTATGCTTCTCATGTGCATTTTTTTCTATTTGATTAATTTTCATACAATGACTGTACACTGAGTAAAAAAACAAAAAAAAAAAAAAAAAAAAATCGGACATTGGGTGCACGTGCAAAAAAACATTTCTAGTTTGCACATTCGTTTTTTTTTCACCTGAACAGTTCCTCGTACAGAATATATTTTCCCATTTTCTTATAGTGTGTACCCAGCTTTAATAATTTACTGGTGAGCAGACGTTCTTGACAGTGGTAGACGATTCACCTCTAGCATCTACTCAAACCGAGCCTGTTGGTACTGGACGGACTAAACATTGAAAGAAATCTGTACATGATGTGGTGGTAGAATGAAGGCACCAAGCAGTGGAAACCTATAGGTGACCTCTGTAGACCCAAACAAACCACAAAAACAAGGGTCGCTTCAGCACACTAGCTAGACATTTTCTATGTCTCTTCCCATCTGTCCTTACTGGAAAAAATGGAATGATGGGCCAATAGAAACAGGCCTGGATGGTGCAGGCTAGCTTTTGGCACCATCAAAATCTTGAAACTAGCGTCATACCAAAAATTATTAAGGGTTCTCTGAGCTCTGGAGAATTTACCTAAAAAAAAGGTATGTGCACTGTATTGTAACATACTATTCAGTACCTTTGTAGTACCAAAGGAGGTTGTGTGTGGTGCCAAGAAGGATAACAATGGTTAGCACCATGAAAGGTGAAGAAATCTCCATTAAGCTGATCACATCTAATACATGATTGCATGACTGGAGTTTTACGACTATTACGCTGCTTTTCTCTTAGGTTGGTAAAACATAATGCTTGATAATCACACTATAAGGAATCATAAGTATCCGTTAACACAGACTAGCTATTTTACTAACGCTGTGCATCTGAAAAAAAAAAAAAAAAAAAAAAAAAACACAGAAGCCAATAGTGAAGCCTTGACGTTGTAAGAAGTCAGATATGCTCCATCTGCATTAAGTGGTAAAGCAACAACATACGGTAACATTACATTTTTACTACACCACTAACAAAAAGGAAATCTTGAGTTTATACAAGTTTTACTACTGGCAGCAGTTTGCAGAGAACACGAACCCCCTTGTACTGAAGGGATGCTCAGAATGTTCACATGCACTGCTCATAAAGTGTCCAGCAATGCTTGATCCAACACATTCCTCTAGAAGTGGCTGGTAAATTCCAGCACGTGTTTAAAGTGCACCAGTTGTCTGCTCTTTGCAAACGCAAAATGTTTTGCGCTGTCAAGAGAATGATGCCGCGTCACTATATGTAAACACCACACTGGAGGTAAGGAGAACTGGAGGTGTTCTTCCTCAGCATTCAGCCAGATGCATATATATATATATATATATATATATATATATATATATATAGCCAAGATGTACTTTCTGGGCCACATCTCCACTTTTTGCCCCCAGTGTTCTTTCTGATCGGATCACACAGAAAATACATACATTGTTCAGCCCGTAAACAGCTACCTCCGTATTGCATAGGCAACACTTTAGTCCGTTTTGGGCTCAGACTGTTAATGAAATAAATTAATACTGTGACTGTAGTGTAAACATTAGACTGTTATATAATAAAGATGAGCCACTAGCGTTAACACAGTAATCTTCAGTCATATATTACCGTAAAATCGCAGAAATCTTTTCTACTAGCTATTTAAAATGATGTTAAAGAAAACCAGGGCTTGTGCAAGAATCCGAATGGTCATTCAAATTAGTACAAACTTATGAAATATTTATTTTGGCTGTCGTATCTTCCTTACTTCAGCTTATTCTGTCATAGCTGCACACATCAACTTGGCTGGACAGAGAGAGGTCACCAGAAACCAGACAGTTGCAGTAGGTTAGGTCAAGCAGCAACTTTCAGGCTTCAGGTGATCTTTGACCCCCTGGACACCACTAGAGAAAGCAAACCTACGCAGGAGAGCAAATATAAAATTAGAAGACTACACGATACCAATTTAAAACTGCGCATTCAGATTCTTACATAACACCAGTTGTGACTGGTTCTCTTCGCTTATTAACAGTAGATACAGTGATGACTTAGGCCAATGTCATACAGTGCATTTGCTCACCTGCATATTTTAACTACAGGAGCTTAAAGCTTGTATATTCTATTCGCCCACACACAAAAGGAAGTTTTTTTTTTTGGGGTTCCTGTCACATGAGCACTGCCACACCCAACAAAAGCTGCCTGCAGCGTTTCTAACATGTACTGGTGTGACAAGGACTTTTCCCTTAGCTTGCCTCCTATGCCCAGCATAACACAGTGTATATTCACCAGGCTCCATAGGCTAAAATATCAGGCCACACAAATTACGCATGTGACATTAGCCACTGAAATGACCCAACAATCTCTATGTAACAGATACATTTAGAAAGTCAGAAAATTAGAATTTGACCACAAATGCTGATTTTTAGGCGACATCCAGCACCAGCTGCTACCAGCTGCCTGGAGAGCCAGTCAAGGCCATCATATAGCCCCATACCACTGCGGGCATCACAACCTTGGATATACCAGCTGCGACCACAACACAGTTTGTGAAGGCTCAGTAGCTCGGTCATTTCTTCCACGGATAGGGCACCTGCAACATCCTGGAAAAAAAAAAAAAAAAAAAGAGAAAAAAATTAACATATTAGCAGTTAAAAAAAAAAAAAAAAAAAAAAAAAAAAAAACACCTTTTTCATTAATTATTTGTACTTGTGGTAGGTAAGGCAAGGCCACTTAGAACACGTGTTTGAAAGGTGGACTGTCCATGGTGCACGTAGCAACCATATTCCTGAATTGAGAGAATTATGCTACACTCCAGAAGAATCAAAAAGTTGTATACAAGGTGTATTTTGTTGTAACCACACTGACTACTACTGTGCACCGAAGATTTGTTCAGCCATAGAATAGAAATTTTTGTACTCACCTTAAAATCTTTTTTTTTTTTTTTTTTTTTTTATTTGGAGTCCACTGAGGGACACAGGAAGTCCTTAACCTTCAGGTTATACTGCCGTCTACCAAAGAATAGGACACTGGCAAAAAAAAAAAAAAAAAATACCCACACTCCACACTGGCCAGCCCAGGATAACCCTTCCTACTACCATAAATGACTCAGTTTTGTAACAAAGCAGTACTGACAACATGATCTTTAACACAGAAGGGTGGGGCCTGTGCATCAATGAAGTCCAAGAAAAGAATATTATGGCAAGCTCAAAAATCCTATTTGTACTTTCATCCACTGAGGGACACAAGTCGTCTTGAACCTTTGCAACATCCAAAAGCAGCCCAACTGACAACATAGGAAACAAATGCTAATAGGCTGAAGAAAGAACAAGTTAACTGGGACTGCCTGCATCTCAAAGAGGTACCTGAAAGGCCTTACAAGCTGCCATCAGAGGCGGCCAAAATGTCCACCTGGTAGAACTTCAAGAACTTTCTTCAAATGTGTCTGCATCCTGATCCCTGCATAGGACCCATACAGATGTGCACTTCAGTATGCACATGAAGGTCCGTGCAGCCGGCTGCCTGTGATTAATTTCAACAGGTTTCCTGCACATCCCTGCAGGAACACCTGTGCATCCTTGCCAGCTAAGGATGGCTTTTTGCAAGAGTGTACAGATCAGTAAACACAGCCTGAACCACATCTGGACAATGGAGGGAAAACATTTTTTGGTAAACTGAAGCCCCCCCCCCCCAAAAAAAAAAAAAAAAAAAAAAAAAAAAAAAAAAGCGATGGAAGAATGATGTTCTGGAGATGAAAAGCAGAAAGTACCATAGGCAAATAATAAGTCAATGGTCTCTGTAACAAGATCTAAAAAAGGGCAGAAACCTGGCCCTTGATAGTTTCAAGAGCCAAATACTGGTCCAGACCCAGCTGCTAGAAGAAGGACAGGGTTCATCCTATTTAGAAATTCCTATGGCAAAAGCCCCGAGACTTACACCTTTTAAAGTATACTTTTAATGTCTGATAATAGACCTTGTAGAAAGTAGCCTTCCTAGCTTTAACCATCATGAGAAATCACAGATCCAGAGTTGCCCCTGTCTCTCAAAACCTGGGGTTCAACAGTCATGTCATAAAAGCCAGCATTTGTGAAGCAAGATGGTAAACCAGTATTTGAGACAGAAGATCCTGACAATCTGGCAGAGTCCACAGAACATGCACCAGGAATCTTACCAAGGTAGCGTACCGCTTTCACCTAGGCCAGTCCAAAGCAATTAGAATCACCAGAATGCCCTCCCATCTTAATCCCCTTAAGTAAATGAGAAAGAAATGTCATGGGAAAAAAGGCATTGATCAGGGTGATCTGATTCCAAGGAGCCACCACAGTATCTACTGCCTCAACAGGAGGTCCTCCTAAGTATGGGGATGCCATAATAACACAACAGGGCTAATACTCGGGCCAGCACCTTGAATAGCCAACATGCAGATGAGAGGCTGAAGAGCAAGACCACAAGCTGATATTATAGGTGCACAACAGGAAAACATTTAATGTGCTGGAAAGATGGGGCCATGTAGGTACACATTCCTCGATGTCCACAGAAGCGATGACAGATCTTTCATGCAGAATTTCTGGGTTCGAATTAAGATATTCAGAGCTTTGAGATCCAAGATGGGCCAGGTGCTCCTTTGGGTTTGGGAACAGCTAACAGGCTGGAGTAAAATCCTTGATCCTGTTCTGCCACAGGAACTTGGGCAAAGACACCTTGGTCTAGAATACCCAAGAGGGTTTGATGGAGATCTGCAAATCTGTGCAATGACAAAGGAAGTTTGTATCTTGGAAACCAAGGAGGGGCCAGGGAGTGAAACTCCAGTTCATTCACCAGGATATCACTTCCTTAACTCAAGCATCTGTGAATCGAGTTGTCCAAGCATCCTCAAATGATTAACAGACATCCCTCCACTTTGGAATGTGCAAAAAAAGGGCTTTTCTAAGGATTTGGCAGGCTGAGTGCCAGACCTTGTGGGTGGCCTGATAACCAGGCATACAGAATCTCTGACATGAAAAGACAAAAAGGAAAAAAAAAAAAAAGTTTCTCTTTTCAGTCAGAGAGGGGGAAGATGTTGCAGTCTGCTCCATAGGTTTCAGCCTCTGGGGAAAATGGGTGCTTTAGACACCAGTAACATCCTCGATAATAGTATCAAAAGGCCATACTAAACATACATTGTCCCTTAAAGGCCATGCTGATCAAAAGGGTTCTGCAGTCTAGCACTTAAATTAGATGCTCTATGTATGTGTACTGACATGAGACCAATAGGAGAGATAAGCTGGTAAGCTCCCAGCAGACCATCCCAAACTAAAATTGAAAACTACAGCCATTTGCTTCATATGTTCTATACTCAATGGATCAACCACAGCAGTGCCGAAATCGCTTCTAAAAAGGGATTTTGACCAAGCAGCCATGGTTTGACAGAGAAAAGTCAAAGCCAGGATAAGGTGAAGGCAAGACTTGCCAGTGTGAACAGTGTCCTACAGAGGGCTTCCAAACGCTTATCAGTTTGGTCCTTAAAAACAGGAACGTCCTCCACTGTAAACGAAGAGACACTGCGGAATCCAGTTAGGACAGACCACGTTTAGTCAAACCGAAGAAATGCTAGGTGGCTAATTGTTACCTTACCAAACTGGCCCTAGAATGTATATAAATGTGCTATAAAAATATTAGCATCTCTGTTTGGAGTGAATGATGTTAATGGTTGTATATACACATTGTTAAGTGCTACTACAGCAGGACCTTAAAGGATAAGATCACCTCTGAGACATGTTCCACCCATTTTTAAGGTGGAGCATGATGTAACATGTTCCAACTCCTGCAGCCACTTGCCTATTCCCCTACTCCCTCACTGTGACAGCTGAACGGGGGATCTTCTCCCCACAACCGCTGTTACAACTTGAAAAGGATGCAGCCGTGCAGGGCGGCCACATCGTTCATTCACAGAGATCTGGGAATGAATGAACTATAAGTGCCAACAGCCTTTGCAGCGGACAACTTGTAGTTCTCAATGAATTACCAGGGTGCTAGTGAGCGCTCCAGGTAGTTCATGGACTGTCATTTTGTAACTGCCTGCCCATACAAGGTACGAGCAGATAGATACACTGACAGTTTGCAGGAGACTGAGACTGCACCCACAACCTGCTGATCGTGGGTACGATGGTTTACAGGCTCCTAATAAAAAATAAATAAATCCACGTCTTTTACCTGCAAAAATGTGAATTTATTATTTTTATTTTAGAAAGTGTACTTATCCTTTAAGGCGGAGTTCACATAAGTGTGGGGAAGTTTCCAGTGTGATTTGTAAAAAGAGTCCGGGAAGATTTCATTCAAACGGTTCAGGTGCGATTCAAGTACAAATTTTTAAAGTGAACAACACTGGAAATCGCACTTGAAGTGGACTGAAAAATCGTACTTGACTCTCTTTAACTGCCTCCCGCCCGCCATATAAGGAAACGACAGGCACAAGGCAGTTCTCTCGTTCTAGGAGGACATCATATGACATCCTCCCACTCTAACCGCTCATGCGCGCCCCCGGGGGCGGGCAGCGCAGCGATCGGTGGTGTGCTGTGTCCCTGGAACACAGAGGATCACTGATCAACGGAAAGAGCCGATGACTTCGGCTCTGTCATGTGATCAGCTGAGTCCAATCACAGCTGATCGCATGTAAATAAGGAAATGCCAGTTATTGGCATTTCTCTCCTCACAAGCTGTCACGCTGACAGATTGAAAGGAGAGGAGAACCGGTAACCAGCATTCCTCAGAGGGGACATCTACACTATCAGTGCCCATCAATGCCACATATTAGTGCTCATCTGAGCTGCCTTTCAGTGTCAACTATCAGTGCCAACTATCAGTACGAGTACTGCCTTTCAGTGCCCATCAGTGATGTCTGTGAATGCCCACCAGTGATGCCTGTCAATGTCCATCAGTGCCACCTACCAGTGCATCCTCATCAGTGCCATCTATCAGTGCAGCCTATCAGTGCCCATCACTGCAGCCTCATTAGCACACATAAGTGAAGGAGAAAAAATTACTAATTTACAAAATTTTAACTAAGAAAAAAAACTTTTTTTTTTTCAAAATTTTCAGTTTTTGGTTTATCAAAATAATAAAAACCCCAGAGGTGATTAAATACCACCAAGAGAAAGTTCTGTCTCAGAAAAACGATGAAAATTTAATATGGGTACAATGTTGCATGATTGCACAATTGTCAAAGTGCGACAGCGCTGAAAGCTGAAATTGGCCTGAGCAAGAAGGGAGTGAAAGTGCCCGGTAGGCAAGTGGTTAAAAGTGCAATGCAGCCGGCCCGCACATATGTGAACCGGCTCCATAGAAAGTTGGTTTGGTTCACATGTCATGCGAGTCGGAGGTGGTTCAATGCGCATTTCAATTCACATACATGTGAACAGGGCTGAGACAGATGCCTCTATAGAAATATACTGTATCTATTGATATATCCAAAAATATACATCGTTCACATACATCTAGCAGAAAGAATAGGTCCCCTAAAATTTGATGAAAGACAGTTTTCAGGGGAATGGAGACTTTGTTGCGGAGGCATGAATTTTCCTGGCAGCCATCCTTCTGTCCAATGACAGCGTCCTTTCTAGCCAGAGGTACTCGGATATCAGCCATGTCCATATACACAAAGTGTATAGGCACATGGATGGTGTCACTGTTTTGTCATGAATTCAGGGGATGTCAGGCTCCAGTAACAAGGTGAAACATAACCAGAGTGGCACAAAAGAGGATTTCTGATTAATAAAGGTTATAGAAGGCACTTTAAAATGAAATACAGGTTCACTTTAATGCTAACACTCTACAGTAAATGTAGTAAGAGTAAGTATTGTGATAATACTACATGAATTACATGGAATGGGATAGAAATATTATAAAATATAAACAAAAATTGGATTACATTACCTGTTTATTGGCAAATATTAATAGCAGTGCGTCACGCAGTTCCTTCTCTGTAAGAAGTTTTGCAAGTTCACTGTGGGCCTCGGTGATTCGGTCACGGTGGCTGCTGTCTATTACAAATACTACAGCTAAAGGAAACGAAAAATAGATTAAACTGCGGATGACGCCACCAGTCAAAGCAAAATAACCCATCCCTGGCATCACTGAATGAGGTAGCTGGTACATTAAAGGTGCCATTAGTGCAAAACGGTCTTAAAAAAATTAATCAATAAATCTACAACAAAAGTTGTCAGAAACTCCAAACAGAAAATAACCAAAGAAAACTGTGTAAAGGGAGATCAGCAAGCTTTCTTCCAATAACTGGTGATGTTACAACTCCTGACCTGCAATATTGTTCCTGGACAGAGACTTGTAGCCTATTGTAGTGAATGGATCAACAGACAACGAATATTTTCAAAAGGGAGAGGTCAACAAGGGCAGCTCATATTTCACTCACCATGGCTAATATTGCTGACCTTTTGAAAATGTCTGTTGTCTGGATGTGTATGGCATCCATATTTCCGAGTCACTGACCCAGAAGACGCATGAAGCAAATGTAACGGGTAATCCAGCATTCTTCATATTACATTTGATCCAGGAAACTAGCATTTTCTTTTACATAAATTTGATTTTCACATGAATTTTGCACATTCTAGCCAGTGAAATGAATGAACGCCCAAACACTAGCATTTTAGGCACATCAGGCATTTCTCCTCCCCTCCTGAACTTTCAAGTGATGGGTTTTTTTTTTTTCTATCTTTAAATGCCTATGTGTGCATGGACACATAGACCAACATGGAGGGGTGTTTATAGGCAGGAGAAAAAAAAAAGTCAACTGCCCTTAAAAGCAGCATTTTTTGACACCCAGTGTGCATGAGGCCTTAAAGGTGAAATTCCACTTTTAGGCTAGGTTCACACCTATGCAGTAGTTTCTGCAATGCGTTGCGTTTTTGATGCATCATTTTTATTTTTAATGTTGCTAGGCAGATTTAAAACGCAACACACATAAAAAACGCCATACATGCTTTTCTGCAGCATTTCCATTGAAGTCTATAGTACCAAAAACGCAACTTTTTGCGTTCAAAAAAGTCCCTGACCCTTTCCAAAAAATGCACCGGGTGAAAACGTGAACATGTCCAATAGGAAATCATGTTAAATGGACTGTAGTGCACACTTAGGTGTGAACCTGACACAACAGGGGATTCCCGTAGTAGACAAATATTCTACACTTACCTTGAGTGTTAAGGTAATAATGCTTCCACAGAGGTCTCAGCTTGTGTTTGCCTCCAACATCCCAAATAGTAAATTTCAAGTTTTTATACTCAACTGTTTCAACATTAAAACCTGAAGAAGAAAAAAAAAAAAAAAAAAGTTACACTTAAGACATAGCTACTGAAACATAGAAATTTCTGTCAGAGGAACTGACAAACTCATTTGGCCTCATTTATCAGAAGGCTCAGACATGTGATCACTTAATTGCCTCATATCAATTTGAATCAAACCACTACTAAAAAGCCACAGTTGGACCAAAAAAAAAAAAAAAAAACGAACATATTGCAGCATTTAATCTGACCTGTAGAGTCCTTGGATGGTACAATACACTCCCAAACAATAAAACATCAGTTTTGGATGGGCTGATTCTTTCATAGGCACTCACCAATTGTTGGGATTGGTTGCATAAATTCATCCTGCTTTAACTTAAATAAAATGGTTGTTTTTCCTGCTCCATCAAGGCCTAGAGTCACAACTCGAATTTCCATTTTTGGACCAATGTGAACTCTATTGTCCTAAAAAAAAAAAAAAAATAAATAATGAATGCAGAGTCTCTGTGCATAAAAGTAAATACATCTAACCTTTAGCCCTGGTTCACACTAAATGCAACACTGAAATCGTGCAACTTCTCTTAGTACAAGATTTTAAAGCTGCGGAACGATTTGATTTCAGGTGTGACTTGCCTGACATCTGAGCGACTTCATGCAGAGAGGTCTATGCAAGTCACACCGGAAATCGCTGAAAATAGTGCAGGAACTAATTTCAAAAAATTGTTGCGACTCCATTTGAACAGTTCCATTGCCAACAATAGGGTTCAATTTGTCATGTGATTTGTAACTTTCAAATCGTATGACAAGTCGCACCGGTGTGAGCCAGGGCTAAAACAGACATCACCAAGACCAATGTGTGGCAAAGTTTGGGGGGGGGCACTTAGTGCTGAATTTAGGTATTACCAGCATAAGCTGTGACCTAGCGTGCCAGGGCTCCCAGTGATGGCACACAGCCACCAACAGTCATATTGCTGACTTTCAGTAACACTTTCTGATGTGTAACAAAGTCCAGTTTACCACCCTGCCTGCCAGTGCAGTCCGGCTGTGTCCTCATTGTTGCTGCCTCTGCACAGTTTTGGCACTTTTGTTGGTACAATTGTGTACTGTGCACATATAGCTCAACTACTTCGGGTCTGTACACCCAGAACACAGACCAGAGTTTACTTAATGTTGTTAGTCGTTCAGTATTTAGCATTCAAAAAGGAAACCAACATGGAGCCCACAGGAGGTGCATCCTAGGCTACAGCTTAAAGCTAAATGGTCACCTACATAAACATTAAAGCAGAACTAAACTCACATTAATCCACATTTACTTTTATCATCTGTATGCTGCTAGCATTAGTAAATAGGATAGGAAGGTATATTATATTTAATGAATTGTTTTAACCCTTTTACATTCTTCAGTTACTTCCTGGTTTCTGGCCTAGGCCACAATTATATCATGCTTCCCAGGAGTCTTCATTGGCATTTTCTTTTATCTGGAGGGGAGACAAGGGGCTCTCTCAGCTAAGCAAACCATCCTAACTGCATGCTTAAGCCAAGAGCAGATTGATTCCAGAAAGTCAAATGCTACACGAATCATCTGCCCTCACTCAAGATGGCCACAGCTAGAATTACTAGGGGGTGTTTTTGTAAAGTGATTTCTCAACAAAACAGTATATGGAGACATGGGTGGATAGGGGGAATATGCTTTGATTAAAGAATTAAAATAGCGTTTTCAGCTTGTGGTGCTCAGATACAGTTATGCTCCTCTTTAAAGAATTGCTACTAAGAGGAGTTTGTACACACCTTTATATTCCCAATTCACTCATGAGTCTCTCCAAATCTGGGAGTATCCAATATAGAGCTGGAGGCTGAAATGCCACATGCGATATAATGCAGGTTATTTAAGGGAATCAATGGCCTACACTAGATTGTCTGACAGAAGTACAACTTCCATAGTTACCTTTGTGAATGTAACAGGAATACTAGCATCCAGCTGGATGTGATCTGCGAGCTCAGTAAACTGCTGCTGTTGTTTCTGAAGAGTCTCTAATAGTCGGGTGATCTCTTGCTTGGCCAGAACCACTCTGCAGTCATCCTATGTGAGAGAACACACGGCATTTACACACACACAGAGAGGAAACAAGGGTTCTCGATGAACAGTATGGGGCTAAACTGGGGGCATTTTTTTCTAGGTATTCATTCAAATTAATGATAGTAAAACGTAAAGCATCCCCTTTATTTCTCTCTACGGGTTTTCTTGTAACTTAGAAAAGCCAAACAGCAGAACTATTTGAGACCAAAATCAACCATGTGAAACATATTTTAGAAAATTCTTTTAGCACTTTGCAATTTTTAAAGTAATATGCATTACCAATGTACAATGTTTTATCCCAGGGAATTACAGCAGATCAGACATTTCTTGAAGAATTCAGATACACAATTAGGTGATCTTCACTGATGCCACTGCTTCCCCTCAGATCCCCCTTCACCAACCCCGAAACCCACGGCTTCCTCTCCGATCCCCTTCACCAATCCAGATACCCACTGCTTCCTCTCCGATCTCTCTTCACCAATCCCGACGCCCCCTACTTCCTCTCCGATCTCCCTTCACCAATCCCAATACCCACTGCTTCCTCTCCAATCCCCTTCACCAATCCAGATACCCACTGCTTCCTCTCCGATCTCCCTTCATCAATCCCGATACCCACTTCTTCCTCTCCGATCTCTCTTCACCAGTCCCGATACCCACTGCTTCCTCTCCGATCTCCCTTCACCAATCCAGATACCCACCGATTCCTCTTCAATCCCCTTCACCAGTCCCGATACCCACCGCTTCCCCTCACATCTTCCTTCACCAGTCCTGATACCCACCACTTCCTCTCACATCTTCCTTCACGAATCCCGATACCCACTGCTACCTCTCACATCTTCTTTTACCAATCCAGATACCCACCGCTTCCTCTCACATCTTCCTTCACCAATTGCGAAACCCACTGCTTCTTCTCCGATCCCCTTCACCAGCCCCAATACCCACTGCTTCCTCTCCGATACCCACTGAAACTCTCCGATCCCCCTTCAACCACCCCAATGCCCACTGCTTCCTCTCTGATCCCCCTTCACCAATCACAATACCAACTGTTTCCTCTCTTAACCCCCTTCACAATACCAACTGTTTCCTCTCCAATCACTCTACACCAACCCCGATACCCGCTGCTTCCTCTCTTATCCCCCTTCACCAACCCTGATACCCGCTGCTTCCTCTCTTATCCCCCTTCACCAACCCTGATACCCGCTGCTTCCTCTCTTATCCCCCTTCACCAACCCCGATACCGCTGCTTCCTCTCTTATGCCTCTTCACCAACCCCGATACCCACTGCTTCCTCTTATCCCCCTTCACCAACCCCGATACCCACTGCTTCCTTTCTCAGTACCTCATCACTGATCCCCACTGCCACATCTCCCACCTGTGTTGTGTAGAGTGGATGCAGAAAATATGTTGAAATTTTCCTGTTCAGCCTGCAGGCTGAACAAAAAAAAAAAAAAAAAAAAAAAAAAAAAAAAAAAAAAAAAAAAAAAAAAGGTATGTGGCTTTACATTTCACCCACTGCCTCCTGTGTCTTAATGGGAACATTTATTTACCACTGATACACCAAGAACAAAATTCCGATTCGTAAAAAAAAAAAAAAAAAAAAAAAAAGATTTTGAATTCTAGTTTACCATTTGCCGACCAAGATAATATTTAGAATTTTTTGTTCACACGTTTAAAAGTAGCTTTTGCTAGGAATTTACTTACAACCCCCAAACATTATATAGTTTTTGAAAGAAGAGGCCTTGGACAAAAAAAAAAAAAAAAAAATGGTGAATTTTGCAAATTATGTGCAGGACTATGGGGGTGCTTTTACATTTTTTTTTTTATTGCTTTCACAAGGGGGCTAACAAGCTCCAGCCTGAACCATTGATACAAAACAGGTTCGATCCATGCTTTCATGTTGTTTACGCTAAATTCTGACTCTACCATCTGAATATCACAGCAACCAGTCTACCCATTCTCCTCTGACCTCAACAAGGCACTTTCGTCCACACAATGCTGCTCACTGGATATTTTCTCTTTTTTGGACCATTTTCAGTAAACCCTAGAGATGATTGTGCATGAAAATCCCAGTAGATCAGCAATTTTTGAACTACTCAGACCAGTCCGTCTAGCACCAACAACCATGCCACATTCTAAGTCACTTAAATTCCCTTTCTTCCCCATTCTGATACTCGGTTTGACCTTCAGCAAGTAGTCTTCACCACATCTACATGCCTAAATGCACGCAGCTGCTTCCATGTGATTGGCTGATTAGCAATTTGTGTTACCAAGCAATTGAACAGATGTACCTAAAAGTGGCCAGTGAGTGAATTTCGGTGTGCAAGTGGTTAAAGTATCCATCCTGGCATTAAATAGTTTAATTGGTCAATTACCAGACACAAAGGCACAGTTTACCTGCTGAAGAGCCTTCTCACAATGCAGACAAGCAGTGGACACCTCAGACAATAAGATGGTCATGTTTTCTTGTTGCTGCCTCAGCCAGATGAGCTGCTCTCTCACATGTGCATCCACCACACTGAGCGCCATTTCCTCCTGACGGCACAGGGTTTCATGTAAATCAGAAAAATAGGCTCGAACACAAGAGCGGGCATTTTCTGCTGTTCCCGGAACCTAACAGATGACCATGATAGAAGGAAACAAAGATGACTCAATCATGTACAGTCCAATGATCAAGAGGATACGAGTGCAAGGACAAAGTATCCATCACACAGGCGGCATTTATTACCAACAACAGGTTACCAATATGTAGCCACAGTGATGACAAGTGCATACCAGAAGAGGATATTGAGCAAAATGGATCCAGTCACTTAGGATTAATGGACAATCCTCTATCTTGCACTAGTGCAATTATGGGGTTGATTTATTAATACTGAATCTAGTGCAGCTCTGCATGAAAACTAATCAGCTTCCAGGTTTTTTTGTCAAAGCTTAAAGTGTTTCTACACCCACAACACTAAAATCAGTCTGTACATGCAGTAAGACATGCATGTTATACTCACTGTGGAACCTAAGGGGTTAATCCTCTGCATTCAGTAAAAAGGCTGTTTGATCCTTTCTTCTCTGTTCCTCCCCTTTTTCAAGCAACCACCACTTATCTCCAGACTGAACCGTAGGCATGCACATGCTCAGTTTGGTGTATATTGCTAGAGAGGTTTTTTTTTTTTTTTTTTCTTGGGAGAGTGCATGTGATCAGCACATGGCCAATCAGCACTGTCCAGACAAAAGAGTCAAGCAATTTCCATCCTCCTACAGCAGAAAGAAAATTCCTCCTACAAGCTTTAGCTAGTGCTGGGCTGGACACAGATAGATGCCACAAGACTGCTGATGATAAAAGGTATTTAGCAGTTTATATTTACTAAAATAATTGCATTTCCATGTTCTGTGTAATGTGGGAGACCAGATATAGTGAATGCAGGGTCCTGGGAAAGTGGATATAGGGAATGCAAGGTCCTGGGCTTAGTAACTTTAATTAAACAAGCTGAAATTAGAAGCTGTTTGGCTACCATGCACAGCTGCACCAGATTTTGCACTCTCTAGTTTCAGAAAATCAACCCCTACATCTGGGAAAGGAGCAATTTAGTGCTGTAGTGTATGAAATTAATTGCTTTTGCCATCTTTAAAAAGAGAAGATTTATCTTTTTTTTTTTAAATTATACTTACCTAGGTCCCCCACCGGCTCGAAGGGTGAGAACTGAGCAATCAGACATTGCTGATTGTTCAGTTCTCGCTGGCACTCTGAGCAGAGCATGGTGATTGCCTGCAATCGGTGGATGGGCGGAAGCAGCTGGCTCAGACTCTTAGCAGATCACCGAGAGACTGAGCCAAGTGCCGGTCCAGGCTCCTGGGTGGATCCCACCCACATGGTTGCGATCTTTCCCCAGCATGGACCAGCTCTGTGACGTCAACTGACAGCAGGCTTTAGCTGAAAACAAGCTTTGTCTGTGTTTCTTTAAAGAAATAGGAGGGTTTAGTTTTTCTTTACAGTTGAAGAAGGCTCTATATTATAAACTTCTTTTTAGATCTTTAGTTGCCATGCTTCAGCATATGTGATCAGCTATCACAGTAGCCATTGGCATTTGAGGACCTAAAAGATCATCGAATGACTTGGGTACAACCAGCCTGTCAGATTTTTTACATGCGATTACTGCCAGTGGGTATAGCCACTAGCAGTAATCATTGTGTTCTGCCATCTACAAAGCTCCCTGCCAGCAGAACACAATAGCGCTGCAGAAGAGATTCCCCTACTTACTGTGTTGATCAAAGGAATTGAGCAATTTTCTTTCCTTCCATCTGTACTGGAAAGAAAAAAAATGGAACCATCGATGCCTTGCTTTAGATATGCCAATGTAAGGCTAGGTTCACACTACTGTGGCCGTGATTTGATTAGATTTTCATTGCGATTATGTAGTCCGACTTAGTTGCATTTTGGATGTGGTTTGCATATTCTTTGGGATCAAAAGTCACACTAGAATTGCACCAAAGTGGTGCAGGATTAGGTTTCAAAATTGCACCACGCAGTACAATTGAAAACAATGTGATTTCCACCATCATGTGGTTCTGTGTGACTCAAATCACATCTGAAATCACACTAGTGTGAACCAGGCCTAAAGCTGGCCATAGATGTATTGAAATTTAGTTCAGTTAAGCAGGGACTGACCGACTGCAATCCATGTGTGGCCGCTCAGGCCACAGGATTGTAGGAAAGGCTTGGTGAGCCCCACTGTCAGAATACAAATGTCAAGTCACACAAGTGAGGTGAATGGAGAAAAACACTCCCCCTCCCCTCCACCCCTGTATTCCGACAGCTCCTAGAGTCTAATTTTCCAGAATTCTTGATCAACTTCTGTTGAAAAAGGGGCAGCGACACATGGATCACAATTTGTGTGGCCCCTGCTGAGCCGGCCAAAATTTAAATCCATCTATTGCCAGCTTTACACTAGCTGAACAAGGAAAAAAAAAGAAAAAAGAAAAGAAGGATCTATGGCCAGCTTAAGTGTTTTGCCATATCTAATTGATAAGTGTACAATTGATCCAGCTAGAAATCCAGTGACGTCCAGTGTACTTTTCAGTGTCATCTCAAGCAGTGTTACCAGCCTTTCCCCAGTTCACCTCTGAACTACAGAACATTTTCCCCTCTGTTATGCAAATAAGAAGAGGGGGGTGTTCTGTAGTTTGCAGAACTGGGTAACACTGCTTGGGATAACACTGCAGAGTACACAGGACACCATTGGATTTCTGTGAACTACAGAACACCCCTCTCTCTTATCTGCATAGATGGGGCATATTCTGCAGTTTACAGAGCGTAGTCCTTTCACACTTCCTATTCTATGGTGACAACACTGTTCCGACATATTTCCAGTGCAATAACCAAGCATTGTCACCCTAGGATGAGAAGTGTGTTACTGGCTGGATCACCAGGTAAAAATAAAGGAAAAGAAGCCTAAAAAAAATAAATATGTGCTTGTGAAAAATAAAATGTGCTGGATAAAAGTTCCATGCATCATTATTCATGCTAAATTGAAATGCGTAGCCACCTTAAAACCATCTACGATATGGATGTTTCTGCCTCTATTAAAGCTCAACTTCTGATAAAACTTTTTACATTTTGATTTAGATGAGGTAGATAAGTTAGATTCTCTGCCTGGTTTTTATGGCGGTCTTTAACCACTTCCTTTCCGGACACTTTTACCCCCTTCCTGTCCAGGGCAATTTTCAGCTTTCAGCGCTATCACACTTTGAATGACAATTGCGCGGTCATGCAATACTGTACCCATATGAATTTTTTTTACCATTTTTTTGAGACAGATAAAGCTTTATTTTGGTGGTATTTATTCACCGCTGGGATTTTTTTTTTTTTTTACTATGTAAATGAAAAAGTCCAAAAATTTTGAAAAAAAGTGTTTTTTTTTTTTATAAAATTTTGCAAATAAATAATATTTCATCCTAAATCTTGGCCAAAATTTATTCCGTTATTTTTTTAGTAAAAAAAAAAAATCCAAATTAGTTTATAACCAAACATTATAATTTTTAAACATTTTTTTTTACATTTTTATTTTATTTTTTTTTATATTATTTTTTTATTTTTATTTTTTATTTTTACATACTGTCACCCTAGCAGTACAGTGTCACCATGGTGTCACTGTACTACTTGTGGGGGGGTGATGAAGATTTTTTTTTTTTTTTTTACACTGATTGCTTTTTACACCCATATAGGATGTAAAAGCAATCATTTCTCTTTCTCTCTGTCTGCATTCTTGCAGTCATTGAGAAATACTGAGTGAGCTGTGATTGGTCACAGCTTGTCACATGGTACAAGGCTGTTGTGAATAGCCTTGTACCATGTGACCTCTGTGATCATTCACAGATTTCACACGTAGTAAGCAATGATGTCACAAGTGACATCTTGCTTACTACTTTGCATGTGATCACTGATTCGCCAATCAGTGATCACATGACCGGGACCTCGTACAGAGGTCCCGTCCGACGATCGGTGTTTCACTGTGTCCGGAGGACACAGCGGACACCGGATCGCGGTGGTGCGCGCTCCTAGGGAGCGCGCACAGCTAGAAAAGGCGGGTGCCGTTTAGGAACGGCAACCCGACCTTGGACTGCCACCGCCCTGCCGTTTATAAACAGCAGGCGGACGGCAAGAGGTTAACTTTATTGGGATGATTTCCCCTCACTGGGGAAACCACTCCATTCTAAACACATATACAAAAACATTTTAGTATTGCAGTTAAGGGCTAGAATGTCCAAATGTTTTTATTGTGGTCTCCACTGACATCCACCCCCTCCATTTCTAGTCCTAGTGTCAAAGAAACAGGAAGGGAGGTAAAAATCTCCCCAAATCCCAAACTTGTCAACAAAAAGTTTTGAGGTCATCTGCTTGTCTCAGCCAGTCAGAGGAAGCTTTGGATTCATGCACAGGATACAAAGCTACCTATGAATGGCTGAGCAGCGCTCAGCCCAACTCGATTTTCTTCTGGGAGCAAGATGGGAAGTTCCTATACCACTGCAGGAACATAGCACTGTATAGTGTATGTAGTTGAGGCTACATACGGTGTATGGAGATGGCACACCTCTTAGTGTACAAAGTGGTGTGTTTGGATCAGCTTGGCCCAAATGAACCAGTTAAAGTGATTGTAAACCTCCAATGTAAAATATGAACAAAGCTTATCCCTCTATAGTTTGTACTTGTCTCAATTAAGGAGCACTTCAGTCTGCTGCTTCCTTCTGCTATCAGCATGAGTTACTTCTGACAAGTTTTCCTGACACCAAGAGAAAAATGGTGACGGGGAGGGACCCCCAGTGGATTGACAAGCTTAGCTCTGTTCCGGTCAGCTGTGTGGAGGGGGGGGGGGGGGGGTCTCTTCCTGTCAATCAGTTGTCAGAGCTCTCCTCACTGGGTTGTACGGAGTGTAACTTCAGTTTTCCGCCACTTTTTTTCTGAACATTCACAAAACTACATCTGTTCAAAGTGCTGAATTTATACAGAGGAGAGAGGGCTGTGTATCACATGAGGCCAGTCACTTCACAGGGTATATGCAAGGATTTACAACCACTTTAAAGTAACAGTACAGGTGGAGATCAGCTTTAAAATGAACGGTCACATCCCCTTGCACTGAATGTCAGAAACAAACATTCATGCAAACTGAACAAAAACCCCACTGCGTATTTCTCTAACAGAATAATTCCTGTGTCATCAGCTCCATCCAGTCACCAAAATACGGTACAGTTTTCTGGAAAAAAAAAATGCAACGAGAAAAAATACCATATTTTTGCCACTATATGAATCTGATGATATGGGAACTACTCTATAAAAAAGGAAAAATAAGCGAAAATTAGGTTTCGCTTACACGAATGCTCCTGACATTCAGCCAAATAATATATAGACCCTGTAGTATTTAATTTTAGAGACACAGTTCATATTTACGTGTTCAGTGTGTGCCATGCCAATGCCATCTTCCACAATCTGCTCTCCACCTTCAATCTGCTGAACGATGCCCGTTAGCTTCCGGGAATACTCGGAGATCTCTTCAGTGAAGCTCCTTATGCAATGTGCCATATCCAAGATGGAGGCACGAATCTGGCTGGCTTCCGACTCCAGAACAGCATGCTATAGGGAATTAATGAGAAGATCTGTTGTGCAATGTTCTAAACAGACATCAAGCAGGACTCAATCAGAAAACCAATACAGCAGAAAAAACACACAAGAATGCAAAAGTAAGTGGGGAAAAACATGTTCCCCTTCCCCCCCAATATGAGCTCTTAACACTTAAAGTGGAACTCAAACCGAAACTTATTTTGTTTTGGATAAAGTTGGGAGATGTTGAGGTAAGACAACAGCGAGGTTTCCCTGCTTTTCCTTTCTCCACAAAAGGATGTAAATGGAAATCTTCCAAACAGAAAAAAAAAATTCCACTTGTCAGGGTCCCCTTTGGACGGAATCCTCTTTATTCGAGTTCTAGTGGTTGAACTAGATGTGTCTTTTTTTCAGCCAGACTATAACAAGATTGTGCCTTACCTTTTCGCCTAATGATCAAGCTCATCAGGACCTTTTTGATGGAGAGTTACTAAACCCTTCCTCAATACTTAACTCCCCCACCCAAAAAAAATAATAATACAAAAAATTATATATATCTATATATCTATATATCTATATCTCTATCTATCTATCTATATCTCTATCTATCTATCTATATCTCTATCCATCTCAGAACAGATGTTTTACTTACCGGCTCTGTGTAATTGTTTTGCACACAGCGGCCCCGACCCTCCTCCTCTGAGGTCCCCACTGGCGCTCCTGGTTCCTCCCCCCTGCAGAGTGCCCCCAGAGCAAGCTGCTTGCTCTCAGGGCACTTGTGCATGCTGATGCTTCCTCTGTGCATCCTGCTCTCTCCTCAGTGGCTGTGATTGACAGCAGCGGGAGCCAATGGCCTCCCTGCTGTACCCCAGACAATGAGGAGGGAGAGATTATTTTCTTGTGCACAGCTCTGGATCGCAAATCAGACTCGCATAAGTATTAGAAAAGGCTTGAAGGGGAGGGGGTTTGGCGGGGACACTGATGGTTTTTACCTTCCTGCATAGAATGCAGGAAGGTAGAAGACCTTCAGCCTTTAGAACCACTTTAACCCACTAAACGCCTAATTAAGCTCTAGCACTCTGCTCACCTGACCTTGCACCTGGAACCTCTAGACCTCTTGCTGGTTTAGGAATACTACATTACCAACATCTTTTACATGGATTTTCACGACAACATGCACGCCAATAATCAAGTCTATGGCTACCTTTAGCTCTCCTCTCGCAAGTAGCAGATACTTCGACTCAGCTTGGCAATTTTTCAGTGAATTGGACAGGGATGAAATTCAACATTGGCTGGACGTTTGCCATTCAGTTTACTTTATGGGGTTGATTTAATAAAACTGGGGAGTGCAAAATGTGGCGCAGCTCTACATAGAAACCAATCAGCATCTAGATTTTTTTTTTTTGTCAAAGCTTAATTGAACAAGCTGAAGTTAGAAGCGGATTGGTTTCTAAGCAGAGCCGCACTGGATTTTGCACTCTCTGGTTTTAGTAAATGAACCCCAGTGTGCATTCTCCCTAGGAAGAAGTGACGGTATTACCTTGTGTCCTTGGTGTTTCCCATACTCCTTGCACACACAGCACATAAGGGGGCTGGTCTGGCAGCCATCTTCTAAGCACACAAACTCAATGGCATGGACTTGATGTTGGGAGCACAAGGTTTTCTCGTACGGTTTGTCGGCTAGGGGAACACGCCGAACACGCCGTGTGTTTAGCCAGGGTCTTTGTAGAATGGGTGTGCAGGGAGCAGTCTGCACACAGGTGAGTGGCGCATACAGTGCAGTATACGGAGGCCACGTGGGCTTCATCTTCATCACAGCGAACTATACTCTGCAAAAAAAAAAAAAAACCACAACAAGCCAAGTCAATTCTGAGTATGACAGAACAGCCCAGGATTTTTAATTTTAGTTTTTAAATAGATGCTAGACCAGTGGTTGAAAACGTATGATCTAAAGGGGGCACAAATGTGGCCAAATGGATGCACAAAATGTTCAATATATGTAATGATTAAGAGGACTGTCAGAAACTGCAGACTTAGAGGAAATGAGGATCAGAGAGTGAGGGTCAGAGAGTGGACATGCTAGGTTTTTGGCTGGGGATATGCGGCAGAGGACCATACCTGGTGCTCCCCTGCAACTGAAGGTTTTTTACTTTAAGGCATAGAATTCATTAAAGGCAAAAAAACCTTGAGGCTTTGGAACCACTTTAACCTTTAGGCAAGGTTCATTGTTGACAGATTTGTTCAAGTGGAACCAATCCCTCCTATCCTTTAGAGCCATAGAAGTTGCCATCTTAGCCTCAGTTTTATCTGCTGTTGCCATGGTGTGCACATGTGATCAGTTATGATACCACCCATTTGATGGTTTGACCACTCAGTTGAGAGCACAAGCAACTGTGACCGTTATTCACAGCATGCCTTGAAGGTAACCATTTTAGGAAAGAATAAAAATGATTGCCTTTAATTCCACCTGGGATTTGCTCACAAAAAGGCTCAAATACTAATTTGGTAACAATTGTAACGGAGCAACAAAAAGACAAACCAATGGCTGTAATGGCCTCTCTCCTTATCACACGTCTTGTTCCTGCTGGATACACAAACATACAAAACCTGCTCATTACTACTGTACATACATCCCTCACTGAAGAGGATGAGCCAGCTTTCATCCACACAACTATCTGTAGCAGAATCATGATGCCACTTTAAAACGATTGATGTGAATCTTCCCCTTTACAGATTAAACATACACTTATGCAGGCCATAGACGGTTCGTTTATCAGCCATTTTTTCGTTCAAAAAATGAAACATCGTTCATTCTGTAAACCGATTATGCCACCAATGATTGCAAAAATCGGCCGACCAAGTCATAAAATGCATTGCATATAACAGGAAATGTCATTTTTGATCGTTAAGACCCTCCCCCACTATACAGAGAGGCTGACTAAACGAACATCGCAATCGTTTCGCACCCACAAAAAATCTGTCGATATTGCACGAAAATGCCCAGCAACATCTCCAAAAGGGAAGAGCAGAGTATGGTCCAAACACTGGCTTCTTCAACGGGCCATGTTTTCCGTTTTCCCACATGAACCTATCCAATTTAAAAGAAAACAATCCCGATGATTACAAAACCTATTTAAGAATGTCACAGCAGTCGTTTGAGCGCCTCCTAAAAACATGGTTGGACCACACATCAAATAGACAGACTCTTTCATGCTCAAATCCATCAGTGCTGAGGAAACGCTCATAGCAACCCTTCGTTACCTAGCAACAGGAAGGTCCTATGAAGACCTCAAGTTTTCAACGGGTATATTAGCACAGTCCTTGGGTAGGATAATCCCAAAAGCATGTGCAGCAATATCCAATGTGCTGAAAGATGACCGTTTGAAGGTATTATATAGAGATATATATATGACCGAAGATTAGAACATATATTTCCAAATATAGGCCATTTGCACCCTCGAATATCAATGACTGGGTCCCAGTTGGTGATTACTTGCCGGCACCCAGTGATCACTGAGTATTACTGATTGTGCCAGGAGAACTGTACGTAAACAATACAGTTCTCTCCAGTCAGCTCCTGCACACTTCTTTGTATGGCTCTACTTATCCGAGCCATACAAACCAGTGTGCTTACAGTGAAAAAACACAGCATAGAATGTGAAACAGCACACAGTTAACCATTTGATCACCCCACGTTAACCCCTTCCTGCCCATTGCCATTAGTTCAGTGCTTCTTTTTAGCACTATAACACTGTATTGGTGTCAATGGAGAGGTTTGTGACACCAAGCCAGTTCCCTCCAGTGTCAGAATGGCCACCCCAGTCCTGCACTCCTGTTATAAGTCACTGATTGATGGCATTCCAATTTTAAAAAAATAGCCATTCTATGTAATACCATTTGGCAACAGAAAACGAATAAAATTTACCATTTACTATAATAAATCTTTTTGGTTTTACTGGACATGTGTAATAGCAAGATATCTGTTTTTTGTATCCAAATTGTCGGTGTACTTATATTTTTAGAACCCAACCCCCTCCAAAAAAAATAAATAAATAAATACAGCACCAATGATCAAATACCACATAAAGAAAGCTCTATTCCTGTCACAAGGCCTACAATGTGCAGTGTTAAATGAACGCAAAATTACCAAAGTACCACAGTGCCGTAACGCAAAAAATGGCCAGGTCAGGAAGGGGGGGGGGGGGGGGGTAAATCCTCTGGAGGGTAAGGGATTAAGATTATTAAGAATTAATTAAAAATTAGCAAAAAAAAAAAAGAATCAATGCAAAATTTAACAATTTATAAGTTTATTAATTGAAATACAAACAAAAAATGATAAATTGAAAAAGTCTGAACAGTGCACAATAACATAACCATATATCCAAAGAACAAATGTCTCAAAGGGTTTGTGTACTGCACATCGTGAGACCAGGAACTCTACATTTGGTCATGCATTTGCCAGTTTGCATTTGGATTAGATTGGTGGGGTAGTAATCTGGGATTGTGGATCCCTAGTCAGAGAATGGGTGGGCCCATTGTGGAAAAGAGGGGGCATACACTGATACTGGAATACCCTACGATGGATGGGGCATATTAGGAACACTGTTCTGTGCAGACATTAGTGTCTGGCTAGAACTGAGTGCGGTATATCCCACAATTTCTGTATTATAGGTTGCTTGTTCCCTTTGACCTATGATTAAAAGATTGTAGATGAGTGGATCAATAATTTTCTGTTGCTGTTGGGTCATGTTACGCAGCTTGTGTGCAATAAGTTTTGCAAAAATGTCGCATTCATCCTTTTTTTGAGCCAGAGCAGCAGATGCTTGTCTCAAAAATGTTGCTGTGTCATACTCGGTAGATTTTCTCTTTTTCCCTCTGTTTATGCTCAATGCTGGGCTTGTTCTTTCCTGTGTACCTTCACTTTCCTATACCAAAACAGCAGTGAAAATATGTTTAATGTTCAAGAAACACATTAAAACATTATCTTTATCTTTTACAGTTTCCAAGTAGCTCTCAAGAATGGCTGTAGACTGCCAAAGAATTTCAAGACCTTTGGAACTTTCCGAGCTGTGGTGGTGCCATAGATGGAAAACATGTGCACATCCCACCACCTGCACATTCAGGATCATATTACTACAATTACAAAGGCTTCTTCAGAATCATCCCGTTGGTCATTGTAAATGCAAAATAAGAATTCCTCTACCTTGATCTTGGTAAAAATGGCCAGAATTCTGATGGAGGTGTTATGGAGCATACTGAATTCCTACAAAGAATGAAGGGTGGACTTCTAAATCTTCCCACATTAGCTGAGATAGTTGAAGGACTGAATTTTGTCTTTGTTGGAGATGACGCGTTTTCTTTGCATGATCATATGTTGAACACCTTTTGTTCATGAGTCAATATTTCTCCATGGGAATGGTTTCAACCAGGGTGGTTAAAAATCAATGATAAAAAAAAAAAAAAAAAAAAAAAAGGATTTTTTTGGTTTAAATAGGATAAATAAAAATGCTTTTTGAGGAAATTATATTACCATCCAAAAGGTTATTCCATCATGAAATAAAGATTAGTTTTTTTAATTATGTAGAATAAGGCTGTACAGTCAGGTCCTTAAATATTGGGACATCAACACAATCCTAACATTTTTGGCTCTATACACCACCACAATGGATTTGAAATGAAACAAACAAGATGTGCTTTAACTGCAGACTGTCAGCTTTAATTTGAGGGTATTTACATCCAAATCAGGTGAACGGTGTAGGAATTACAACAGTTTGCATATGTGCCTCCCACTTCTTAATGGACCAAAAGTAATGGGACAGAATAATAATCATAAATCAAACTTTCACTTTTTAATACTTGGTTGCAAATCCTTTGCAGTCAATTACAGCCTGAAGTCTGGAACGCATAGACATCACCAGACGCTGGGTTTCATCCCTGGGGATGCTCTGCCAGGCCTCTACTGCAACTGTCTTCAGTTCCTGCTTGTTCTTGGGGCATTTTCCCTTCAGTTTTGTCTTCAGCAAGTGAAATGCATGCTCAATCGGATTCAGGTCAGGTGATTGACTTGGCCATTGCATAACATTCCACTTCTTTCCCTTAAAAAACTCTTTGGTTGCTTTTGCAGTCTGCTTTGGGTCATTGTCCATCTGCACTGTGAAGCGGCGTCCAATGAGTTGTGAAGCATTTGGCTGAATAGGAGCAGATAATATTGCCTGAAACACTTCAGAATTCATCCTGCTGCTTTTGTCAGCAGTCACATCATCAATAAATACAAGAGAACCAGTTCCATTGGCAGCCATACATGCCCACGCCATGACACTACCACCACCATGCTTCACTGATGAGGTGGTATGCTTAGGATCATGAGCAGTTCCTTTCCTTCTCCATACTCTTCTCTTCCCATCACTCTGGTACAAGTTGATCTTGGTCTCATCTGTCCATAGGATGCTGTTCCAGAACTGTGAAGGCTGTTTTAGATGTCGTCTGGCAAACTCTAATCTGGCCTTCCTGTTTTTGAGGCTCACCAATGGTTTCCATCTTGTGGTGAACCCTCTGTATTCACTCTGGTGAAGTCTTCTCTTGATTGTTGACTTTGACACACATACACCTACCTCCTGGAGAGTGTTCTTGATCTGGCCAACTGTTGTGAAGGGTGTTTTCTTTACCAGGGAAAGAATTCTTCGGTCATCCACCACAGTTGTTTTCCGTGGTCTTCCGGGTATTTTTGGTGTTGCTGAGCTCACTGGTGCGTTCCTTCTTTTTACGAATGTTCCCAACAGTTGTTTTGGCCACGCCTAATGTTTTTGCTATCTCTCTGATGGGTTTGATT